ATTCGCGATTTGGACTGCGATTCCGTCTGCGACTTGGTCCTCGATCGATCTCCAGATTTTTTGCTAAGATTTTGTTCTTCCGATTCCTCTGAGTCAATCGGATGTGGCGTACGACGATGATGAGAGTCGCCATGCGACCTATGTTGGTGAGAGTGATGAGAAGAATGATTCGCGTGGTGCGCAGAGTGCGATGTATGTCGCGAACGACTCTGGCCCCTTTTTTCCGGTTTTGCGATGTCCGCATCCGAAGAGCGATGCGAAGTGTGGTGCGACCTAAGCGAAGAGTGCGATGGTTTATCAGAATGTCGATTTTTTCTTTGCAGGCTTAATTTGCGCCTCTCTTCACAAATCCGTCTGGTATCTTCGTTCATCTTCTCTAAACAGCGCTCCCAACTTTCCATCGTTCCAGCAACAAGATCGTTTTGCTCTGATACCAATTGATAGAAACCTCCAGGAAATATACAGAATTATCAAGAAACAAACTGGAAAACTGTATTGATGATGAAGAAGAACAGTAATCGGTACACAGGCCTAAGCCCCCAATATGAGCCGAAGCCCCCCAAGAAAGAGAGTAACTCTCGATCTCCCAAGTCCCGAATGACAAAGTCTTAAACAGCCCCCCTCACTATCCCCCAGCTTCTTTCTATTTATACTAAACTTATACATTTTATTATTATTATACTCTATTGGGCCGGGCCCCTAACAATTGGGCCGGGTCCCTAACAGAGACAAGCCTAGGATTCTCGGAAGGGACCGAATACCTAGCTTGCGAGGGCGTATTGAAGGAAATAAATAAATAAATTACACTTAATACATAATATTGTAATTAGCTGTCACAAACTGTTACATATCTTTATCATTTAAGGTAGTATTATTACTTACCTTATACACATGCTTAGTAATTGTATAAATAGCAGCTCTTGTAAATCGGTAAGAGGTGCAGAAATATATTTTAAAGCTTTTCCTCTCTTATTCCTTATCTGTCACACTATGGGCAGAAAATTTGGAAAAAAAAAAGAACCCACCTTGAAACCGTTTGTATACAGTTCTACTTATAGGTAACTAGTTTACTTTAACAAAATATGATTATTACCTTTGTCCAAAAAAAGAGTCTGATTTCACCAACGTACATCTTTTCTGATTTTAGTAAGGTACAAAAACTATTTGAAATCATAATGGTAATTTACTTTTTAAAACTCATGTTTTGGCTTATTGAAATTAAGCACCTTAAGAAATCTTAAGGCGGCATAGGGTAGCTTGATCAAAGAAATGTGGTTTGTTTGGGGCGGAGGAGAAATCCCTGATGCATCTATTCATCCTTTGCCCGGTAGCTAGAGACGCCTGGAGATTGATGCTATGGACTTCACTGGGGCAGTCAGCTGGTATTTTCTGGACTGGGTGCAACTGGCCTTTCATGTAAAGAAGGAAGAGGAATTACAGGTGCTAATCTAGGGATGCTGGGATTTGTGAACTGAACCAAACCTGAGAGTATGGCAAGGAACAAGTCTAGGAGCTTCTCAATTCACAAGAGAATGTCAGCACGTCGATGGCCTCTATTGTAAGTAGTCCTCTGTGGAGACGGCTGACAACAGGTTGGAGGAAGCTCAATGTGGATGCTTCTAATGGGGGAACGAACTGTGGTCTTGGCTGGGTATTATGAGATGAGGCAGGAGGTTTTGGGAGAGGGAGCCAAACCTTAGAGCGGCAAGTGTAGTCCCTTAGAAGCGGGACTGTTAAGCATTCGAGAAGCATTGACTTGGATGAAAAATCAAAAAATCATCAGTGGGATTTTGTGGAACTGGAATCGTGAGATTCGGAGGTGCTCAAGTATATCCACCAAGGGGCTTTTAGCAGAACATATTAGGGATATCAGTTCAGGTTTTGCAAATATTTCTTTTTCATTTGTTAAGCACTCCACAAACAAAGCTGCTCACGAATTAGCGAGAGTGACATGTTCTATGTGTGATAGTCCTTGGTCAGGATTGTTGATCAATCCCCCGAGTTGTATTGTTTTATGTTGACGCTTTGACATTTGATTCCATTAATGCCAATTAAGTATTGTCCATCATTTCATTTTCATTTCATTTTCATTTACCCCAGTGCCGCAAAGGCTCCCACCTACAGTGGGATAAGGGGGTCGGATGTACGCAGTCTTACCCCTGTACTAAGACACGGAGAGACTGTTTCCGGATGACCCATAGTGAAAATCGTGTCCAAAATTGCATGGACTGATTGCTACTTCATAACAAAGAAGCGCAAACAGTTTAGTTTAGTGAGCCATTAAAAAAAAGGAATTGTTAACTTATTATATCTTTGACTAGCATAAAATTCACAAATCTATCATATTTTGATAAAAAAGACTCAAACTTAATCTTTTTTAGCAATTATACTTTTCCGTTGTGAGTTTTCAGAATTACAAATCCATCATTTGCAAAGGAGCCAAAAACTCACTATTTTTCGGCTTAAGAATATGATGGAATAAAGCAAAGTGGCTCACTAAACTCTCTGCGCTTCTTTGTTATGAAGCAACAGCCAGTCTATGCAATGTTTGACACGATTTTCACTATGGGTCATCCGGAAACAGTCTCTTTGTACTTTAATACAGAGGTAAGGCTGCGTACATCCGACCCCCCTTACCCCACCGTAAGTGGGAGCATTTGTGGCATTGGGGTAATGATGATGATCAATACTTTTTATATACAACAACAATATTCAAGCCTTAGTCCCAAAAGATTTTGGGGTCCGCTAACATGAATCGATACATGATATCGGGATCAAAAGGAAAAGAAAGATAAGAAAGATAAAAAGGATAAGCTATGATAAAAAAAGATAATATAAAAAGAGATATGATATACACAAAAAAGATAGAATAAAAAGGATAAAAAGAATACATAAAACGATAAAAAAACACAAGGAAGAAAATGAAGATGAGAATGAAATGATGATAAGAAATCACTTCATCACACGAATACCCGCTATTCACTCCAAAGTCATACTCTCATCCAACCCAAAAAGAAGCATATCACTCATGACTTCTTTAATTCACGTTTGTTTGCGTGTTCCTCTCCATCTCTTCCCTGCTTCTTCTCCACACCTCCCAACTCGTCTGCATCACTCAGTCTTCTATGCACATGACCAAACCACCGCAAGCGGTACTCCCACATCTTATCTTCAATAGGTGCTACTCCCACCTTATGTCTAATTGTCTCATTCCTCAAACGGTCCATTCTAGTATGTCCACACATCCAACGCGGCATGCACATCTCTACCACACTCATTTTTTGAAAGTGACATTGTTTCACCGCCCAACACTCTATGCCATACCGTAATGTAGGCCTAATTGATGTCCTATAAAATTTACCCGTCAGTTTAGTCGGCATACCTCGATCAATACTTTTATATACTTGTATTAAATTATATATTTTTTATTATTCATTTAATTCTATTTCTTTTACATGAATTAGCATGAACTTGAAACAAATCTTAAAAAACTAATCTTAATAAAATATTTTGTAACTAAAAACTTTCTAATAAAATGTCAAAAATTAACATATATTGATACTCAAATTAATCCATGAATTAACTAGCTGATATATTGATGTTTTTTATAGAAGTTGATATACTCATTCAAACACTAATATTTTAACTAATAAAATTTATTAGTTATCAAGAAAATTTTGAACTCTTTCTATGTAGTTGTAGGTGACACTTTCATCTTTCTAGTTATCTTTCATATGTTATGCACCATAATTTGATTAATATAAGTAATATTAATAGATATACGTAGGGGTGGACATATCAGTTTTCGGTTCGGTTTTTATCAATTTTGGTTCGGTTTGGAACAAGTTGGAAGAATTGTTACCAAACAAAAACCATAGTATTTTTCGGATTGGTTCCGTTCGGTTTTGTTCGGTTTGGATTTGTTATTTTTTTTAAGAACATATGAAGGTTTTGTGAATTTCTTTAGTTTGGTTTGATTTTGTTCGGTTTTTATTGATTTCGGTTCAGTCCAGTTTAATATGGTTTGGAAGAAATTGTACCAAACTCAAACCAAATTGCATACGGTCTGATTTCAATTCGTTTTAGTTCGGTTTGGTACAGTTCAGTTCGGTTAAACCAAACCAATATGCCCACCCCTAGAAATAAGATTAGATACAAAAAGCATAAGCTATACAAACTTCTCAACTTAAAGGATAGTTTCTTGTTAAATACTGCCTCTGTCTTGAAAAGGTTCACCATATTGACGTTCTTGATCAATAATGACAAACTTTGAACAATTATTTTAATTATTATATATGTATATAATTTATAAATTTTATACTTTTTTTAACCATAAATTTTATACTTTTATGACAATATTTTGAATAAAGAACATTTTGATATACTTTTCATATTCAAAATAATTTCGTATTAAAAAGTATCATTGGTTCAAGTTAATTTCCATTGACCAAGAAAAGTAAATTTGGCGAACCTTTTCAGGGACGAAGGGAGTATTACATAGTACTAATTAATCTATTGAAAGTGTAAGTATGAGAAAAGTTGAAGTTTAAATCTTTTTTAATAAAAGTTAGATATTCGGATAAATTTGTGAATTTGATGATGGTTGAGGGTATATTAAGCTAATAATCCTAAATATAATGACAATTAGATTCTTTTGTTTAGAAAAGACTCTTAGAGACAAAAATAACTTTGCAAAATAGGAATCATCTTTTATGGGACAGACCGACAGAGGGAGTATTTGCTACTTTAACTACATTTCTAGCATCAACTTGTTTCGTTGTTTGTGATTATTTTTTTGCATTTCTGGCTTTCTGCACGAAAAATTATCAAGTGCTGAGGGCTACAAAATTTACAAATATGTTCTGTTATAAACCAAACTTCATGACTTCTTCAGTTTGCCATTATATACCCATGTATACCTTTATCGGCCTTTTGGCCTAGAACAAGTGAGGCAGTAGAAAATACTATTCATATGTGTGTGTAATGCATGGTTCAATTACCTGAACGGCATGCAACACTTTGGAACGGTGGTCGTATGCCATGGAGGATCCACCACTTGAAACGTTAAGAACCCCATTTTGCCAGTGACCGGTCTGAGTTTGCTCATTCCTGAAAGTATAAGTGCCAAAACCTTGCCTCCTTCCCTCATGCCAGGCTCCCTCGTATCGATGTCCATTTCCAAATCTGTAGACCCCAAAACCATGCATTTTGTCTGCAAAATATTCGCCAGCATAGTTATCTGCATTCCTGAACAACAGCAGCAACCGTGTAGATTTGTAAAAGCTGAAAGAGCACAATTCTTTATCTCAATGGAAAAGGCAAGTATATACTCCCTCCATCTAACTTTATTTGTCCTACTTGGTTTTTTGAGTCCATTGTAAAATGTTGTCCACATTTCTAAACTAAATACTACTGATTCTTGTTTTCCCCTAATTTCCTTCCAGATGTCATGATGCTTTTTCTTGATAAAAATGGGCTCGAGTCCTTCATAAACCTCTTTCCTCCTCTAACCCATATATCCCTCAGTCTACTGTAGAAAGCCTCAACCCATCATCTATAAGAGGAAATCAGAGTATATGTTTGAGGTGTGCAATGACAGGAGAAGTTAAATGTCAAGAACTGAAGGGAAGAGGTTAAGGAGATCATGTCAATTTGCTCTATATAATACCAAGAACGAAGAAGTGAAACTATTGGAGATTTAAAAAGATGCTCTGGTTCCACACTTAACCTCTGACACCATTAAATAGTTCTGATACTGCTAATTATATTGCTAGAATTCCAAAATCCAATTTTTAATTTTTTGTCTTGGGAAGGTGACAATGTTTAGTTGTGTCTAAAGATTTCGGATCAGGGATGGATTTAGGGGGGGGCGCGGGGGGCGACCGCCCCCCTTGGACTTTCAAAATTTTCTACCATATATGTAATATTTTCATAAAACTTTCATAATTTAATTAGATTCGCCCCCCTTAGCTTTTAATTTTCAAAAGTAATATATAGTGTTACATAATGTAATACTTAATTGAAGATTTAAAAGAAGGAACATCTAAAATAATTACATAACTTAAACAAATAAACAATAGAATAACTCGTTGTTTAAGATTTAGGATACTTATTATATAAGAATTCCTAGTTTTGTAATGTTTAATTATTTTTATTAGAAAACAAGTACTTGATTTTGTAAAATATATATCAAACAATATTAAATATCAGACACACTAATTACACAGTTTTTAGATCACGTGAAATGAATCCAAAATATAAATGTTTATTGACATTAAATTACATAATTCATTTACTTCTTGCTTTCTAAAAATAATTTATTGCATAGATAATAAACTTTAAATTATTATAGCATTAATACAAATATTAAAATATAATATGCACAATATGTGTGTGTGTGGTGCATACTATTCTAAAAATAATAATATCATACATACTACTATTCTAATATTAAGAAAATTTCTCATGAGTCATGACTCACGAAACCCTCCTTGGTCGCCGGATAAAAATTATTAATCAATAATAACCGATTCATGAGGTTAAACAATGTAGAAGTTATTAAAAGTGTATTGGTTGGTGTCTTTGTCATCATCTAATTTAAACTTAGAATGTACAACTTAATAGATTTAAATGTCGTTGGGGATGTGTATATATTAATGTCATTTTTTGAATAAAATTAGCCACATAGCCCTACAGTAGTGGAAAAAATTCGCGCCGCTACACTAGGGGAAAAATTTCGCCCCACTACACTAACGAAATTTTTTTCACTCCCTACACTACCGAAAAATTTCGCCCCCCTTGAATAGAAATCCTGGATCCGTCCCTGTTTCGGATGGAAGGAAAAAAAACACTCCCTCATTCCCAACCCAAGCTTCTTGATTTACTTTCTCGTTAGTCCCGAAAATAATTTTCTTATTTCATCAACTCATTTCAAGGAAAGACTTGTTGGTTGATATACTATTCTCTTTTCTTTTAGTTATACAAGCCATACAAATTCACTTTTCTAAATAAGTACCCAAGTCAAAACATGAATATTAATTTGGGATGGAAGGAATACATGTTTGTTGTTATATTGATATTCACCACAAACAGGAAAACTAGTGGAAACTGGATAGGTTCTCTGTCACCTCTTTCAGATCATGGGGTCAAATTGGAAAACCTTCACCCATATCTTGTTTCCTAATGTGTGTAAAATGTAAAGTGAACAAAAATAATGTGATAGAGGTACATATCTCTAAACTTGCTAGTGATACACGCGAACTGATCATCATCATCATTACCTCAGTGTCGCAAAGGCTCCCACCTACGGTGGGGTAAGGGGAGTCGGATGTACGCAGCCTTACCCGGTACTAAAGCACAGAGAGACTGTTTCCGAATGACTCATAGTGAAAATCATGGACTGACTACTGATTTATAACAAAGAAGTGCAAACAGTTTATTGAGCCATTTTTCTTTTTTCCATCATATTCCCAAACCAAAAAATAGTGAGTCTTTGGCTCCATTGCAAATGATTGAAATAACACGTGAACTAATATCAACCCCTAAATAAAAATGGAAAACATTGAATAGCATATCTTCCCAAAAGTAACATTTTAATGTGAGCGGCTAAATAATGTACGTTGTTCCCTGAGTGACAGTGTAACGCTACAAACATTTCAGTCTGAGAGGGGTTGCTTTTTTACTTTTTCATCAAGAGAATTATACTTCTTATCTCATTATCCGGATTGCTTATTTATTTACCATTTCTATCCTTTTATTTTGAGAATTTATCAAGCTAAAAAACAATGCAGTAATTATTTCCTCTTCTTTTTGGAAAGAAAAATAACCCCTCCCCTCTTCGACTTCAAAATCATCCAAAAGCTAACTCCCAAACACACCCCCAACGTATTCAGTCAAATTTGAGGAAAATAATTTGAAGCGTATCAAAACATTTTCTTAAAATAATTATGGTGGATCTGGTGAGGCAAAAATACACTTGACACTAGGCAGTATAGTGTTGTATATATTGTGGCTTGACACCAGTACTAAATTTGCAAAAGTAAATGTCTAGTATAAGAGATTATATAATGAAAACCTATGAAGCACAAACACGCGCCATAAGCAGACATACCAACAAGAGCACAATCAAGTTGATAGTGGAATAGAACCAATAAGCTTAAATTGTAAAAGAACACCCCAAGAATAAATTACCTGAACTGGTAAGTGCCAAGGCCATGTTTGACGCCCCACTTGAATTCCCCGATATAACTGCTCCCGTCCTCACAAGTATGTATGCCCTGCCCGTGGCACTGCCCGTTACACCACTCCCCAGCATACGCATCCCCAGTGTAGGACCTATACAACCCAACTCCATGCCTCAGTCCCTGCAAATATTGTCCCCTATATCGGCTCCCCTTCGCCCACGTCTCCACTCCATATCCGTCATACTTCCCGTCGACCCAATCCCCTTCGTACCTCCCAGTCAAACGGTAGTAATGCACCCCACTTCCGGAACACTTTCCCTTATGGAATTCTCCCTCATACAAATCCCCGTTGCTATAAATTTGCACCCAACAGCCCGAATCCAGTGCTTACATTCCAATTTGGGCTTTGCCCCGATTGACCAAACAACAGGAAGATGAGTCTTTGATGGGGCAGGCTTTATTTTTGATTAAAAAAAAAATGGCGGATAGCTGGGAGAGCTAAGCTAAGGGCAATCACAAGAAGGAAAAGGAATACAGCACAGACCAGAAAAAATAAGAAATAGCGGTAATAAGCTGTGGTTAAGAGATAAAAAGTGGGCAAAAAAAGGAGAATGAAAAGCTTGGTGTGGAGCCTAAGCCATGAGGCTCGGCAAGAATGGTGGAGGAGCCTCAGAGTGATCCTCTTAGTAGCTAGAAGCAGCGGGAGTGAGCAAGAACAGAGGAAGGGCGGGTGTGAGGATGCTTTAAAAGGACTGTCGTGATGGCGGCGGAGAGATGAGAGGGTTGGGGAGTGGGATGGGGTGGAGCTTCGGGGCATTAGGGGCCTTTTGTGGGGAGTGGAGGGGAAGAGGGGCGGCTCATTCTTCTTCTGGTAGTGAATTTCGAGATCGGGTGTAGGGCGAGTTAAATGAGTCGGGTCGGATGATGATGGTGGTGGTGGGTGGAGAGGATTGGTGTTTGGTGAGACTTTCTTCTGATGCATCTACAGTTAAGAACTGGACCCGTCTCCTCTCTCTGAACAGCAATAATGGAATCTGGAAATCACGAGTTCGAACCAAAGCCGCCTGCTTTCTCTTTTAACCAACAAACTGAAGAAGAAGAAGAGTTGTTCACCTTTAGCCATTTCTCCGGTCTCCGCACTGGACAGAAAACCATGGCAACTGAGCGTTCAAAATGAGAGTTCGCATATATTTTCGTCCAGGCCCTTCAATACTTCAATACATTTTCTCTAGGAGAAAATTGCTCCTGGTAATACCCATTTATGTTTTTCCCTTTTGGTCTAGTTTATTCTTTGTCTGAGTTGGTTTGATCTGACGTGGTTTCCCTGTATTTTTTAACTATCAAAGTCTGGTCTTGTCTGTGACTGAAAGCAGTTCAAATAAAAACATTCTTATAGCCTTTTGGCATGGATATTACTAAAAAAGACAAAAGACAAAAATGTGACTTTTTAAAAAAATTCCAAAAATGTTACCAACATCACAATTAAACCCTACAACAGTGCAAAGTGACTTCACCGCTACAGTGACCCGCCGCTACAGTGTCCTGCTGCCACAGTGACTTTGTCGTCATCCCGTCCAATGACTGCCGACATCCCGTCCAGTGTCTGCTGCCTCCTTGATCAGTGACTGCCGCCTCCCCTCGTCAGTGATCACCGCCAGCTACAATGACTGGCACCAGCCACAGTGATCGACTCCGACCATAGTGACTGACCGTCCATCAGCCACAGTGGTCGCCGGGAAGTTTTCTACCACCCTACCACCACCAATAACAATTTGCCCATCCTGCTACCTAGCCAAAGCTACCACCGCTGCCCTTGCCCATCCCCAGCTACCGCTGCTCCACCGTCCATTGCCACCACCCATTCTCCATCGTGCACAACCGCCACCGCTTCCCCAGCCCCCTCCCCTGCCCTAGCTCTACACACCATATCCTAATCCAGCCCCTAGCCCTTCCCAGCCCCGCCTTCGACAACCAAGCTCAACCCTGACCACTGCAACTGAACTCTCGCCACCACCATCCCTCAGATCTGGCCGTTGCTGGTCATCATCTCAGATCTGACCATCCATCCATCTTAGGCGAGGCAAGGCGAAGGCGGCCTATGAAGCGAAGCGAGGCAGAGGCGGCCTGTACGACGAGACTGAGGCGAGGCGATGCAAGGCAGAGGCGGAGGGGGCCTGTGCGGAGAACCTGGGGCGGAGGCAGCTTGTGCAGTATGAAGCCCGGCGAGGTTAGGGCGAGGTGGAGGTGAGGCCAGCCGTTTGGCAAGAAATTGTGTGAATCGATGCGCAGGGAAGGGGAGAAAACGATGAATTGCGCAAAGTTCAATGGAATTTGTCACTTTTTTTGAAAAGATAAAATGGGTCATATTTTTTTAAATGCAAAGCCCATTAGTAATTTACATGCCATTTTTTCCATTCTTATCTACGTCTAGTTTAGGAAACTTAATTATAACTTTACAAATTTATCCTTTCAGCTATTTGTGGACATTAAAATTTTTGCCACTAAGAGCATCTCCAATGCTATAATGTGCACGGTGCACATGTGGCATGAGTGATAGCCACATAAATATTAGCATAAAAATTATCTCTCTCCTTATTTGAATGATTTTATATAATTTTGGTAAGTTTTTCTCTGCAATGTCAAGGAGACCGTCTAGATGTTGACATTGTTGTTGACATTGCAGGGAAAAACTTAATAAAATTGTATAAAATCATTCAAATAAGGAGAGGGATAATTTATATGCTAATATTTAATTGGCTATCACTCATGCCACGTGTGCACCGTGCACATTATAGCATTGAAGATGCTCTAAGAGCACCTCCAATGCTAAAACGTTAATGGTGCATACGTGGCATGAGAAATAACCAATTAAAAAACATTAAATACAATATCTATCTCCTTCTTTCCACAGTCTTATGTGTTTATGGTAAGTTTTTGTCTGCAATGTCAATCACAATGTCTACATCTAGACATTGTGCTTGAAATTGTGAAGAAAAACTTACCAAAATGGTGTAAGATCCTTCAAATAAGGAGAGAGATATTGTATTTATTGTTTTTTAATTGGTTATTTTCCATGCCACGTATGCATCGTTAGCGTTTTACCATTGGAGATGCTCTAAGAGCATCTCCAATGCTATAATGTGCACGGTGCACATGTGGCATGCGTCATAGCCACATAAATATTAACAAATAAATAATCTCTCCCTTATTTGAATAATTTTACACCATTTTGGTAAGTTTTTCCCTGTAATGTCAACAACAATGTCAACATCTAGACGGTCTCCTTGACATTGTGGAGAAAAACTTACCAAAAGTATATAAAATCATTCAAATAAGAAAATAAAGAATTTATTTACTAATATTTATGTGGTTATATCTCATGCCACCTGTGCACCGTGCACAATTTACCATTGGAGATGCTCTAATGGCTTGAAGATTTGTGCTGCTTTCTTTCTTCCGTATCACCCTACTAATGCATGTTTTCATTCTTCCGCATTACGTTCGTCACTTCAGATGAATTCGACTTCTAACTACCGGCATAAGCGCTACAAATAGCCGGAGTCATTGAATTCCTCTTCACGCGTTCATCTTCGAAATTATTATGGTAAACTTAATGATCCAACAAGCCTTTCAAAGTTTCAAGTTTTTACAATTTCATTTCAATACCAAGTATAAAAGAAAATTATACTAATTTTGTGCTTAGTTTATTTGTTATATCGAATTTAAGATATTTTCTTTAATTTTAACCGATCAATGTTACAATCACAATGAAACTCATATAGAGTATGAAATAGTGAGTAAGAAAGCAATAATTGTATTTGCATTGAAATGTGTAAAATTATTATCAAGAGCGTTTTATTAATTTGTGATTCTTTTAATTTGAGAGAATTTGACTTTACACCCCGAATTTTTGGTAATATTGTACTTTGCACCCTATTTTAATTTTTTTTTATTTTGCACTCCATCATATAACATTTTGTGAAGAAATATTTCTGAATAAGGTGCAAAGTAAAAGGATTTTAAAGTGAAATCTAAAACTTTGTAATATTTATTGCCACCGTAGATATTGGGAAATTCTATTCACAACCACCATTTTATGAAATATAGCCACACATTTTCCAAAGTTCCTATAATGTCTTCGATAATACGCAACTTAATAGTGCCTCTCCCGCCGTGTAGGCAAATCACGTCCATGTATTGCAAAGAAAGAAAAAGAACCATACGATCAACCGCACCTTTCAAACTGTTCTCGCCCAGATGAAATTCTTAAACTAAATTCTTATTGCAATGAGTTCATTGGCTGTCAAGGAAATCTTGAACAAGAGAAAGATGAACAATTACCTCACCTTGTTGTGGAGAAGCCCACTGCATTTTTTATCATCTCTGCCCACCGAAAGATCTCGATCTATAACCTCAACTTATCCGTTTTTGCAACCACCCATGAATTCTAGTGCTTCCCCGAAATTAGTTTTGTTTTCCGGTTCAGACTTCTAGTTACTTTTTTCCACGACTTCCCAATGACACCCGCCCCAGGAGCTTCATTGTTACTATTGTCTTCTAGCTGGTGTTGCTTATTTTCCTCAGAAAACAAAAAAGGTGCACAAAGATTCGTGTACTAACAAAGAGTGTACTGGATCAAAGCAGGTTGACTCTTTTGCTTCTGTTGTGCATACGGTCAAACACTAATAAAAATAGCACAATAGAAGAAAGTACATATGTAAAAGGGGATTGGAGCTTTCTCTCGGTCAAGCTAAGTATGTGCTTAAAACTTGAAGAGTTTGGTGCGGATTAAATACGCTAAGTTTTATGCCTGATCCGGTCATCACAAAACAGGTTGTAGTCCTGAGATAAGGAAGATGAAAATAGGGAAAAGTTGGAAGGCTCAATTTCACCACAGGAAAAAGCTTCCTGTTGGCCGTCCAAATTTCTTCGCCGCTAGTTATGGCTGACAACAGACATGATTTGCCTGCCGAGAGGCGGTATTAAGTTGGGTATTATTAAGGACATAATAGGAACAATGCAAAATATGTGACTGTTTAGTAAAAAGTTGACTGTGAATAGAATTTTCCTAAAATCTTTTAACTTGATATTATTGTACACACACAAAAACCTATATCTGAATAACAAAGTTAGATTTCTTCTACACATGAAATTTATCGAACAATCATGCGGACATGCGGTCTATTCGCCCATGGTGTGGAGTGGGGATTGGGGACGAGACGAACACAATAGAATTCGAAAGTGATTGGGTCCGTGATTTGGGTCTATTCGCCCATGGTGTGTCTTGCAATCATTCAGTACTACTTAGATTCTTTGCAGGTAAGAGAATGAGCGGGGCAGGGGGTGTTCCATCCTTGATAAAAGATTAAGGCCTTGTTTGGCAATCAGCTGTTAACTGTTAGCTTTAGCTGGTTATGATAGCGGTTTGACAATAGCTGGTTGTGTTAGCTGTTTTGGTTGGCTGGTTATGTTAGCTTATTATAAAAAATTGTTTGGTAATTAGCTGTTCCAAAGTAGCTGTTTGAGTGTAAAAAGACATATAAGGACATTTTTTTAACTAATGTTTCTAAAACGATGTTACCTACAATTAATTATAGAGTTAAAATCCTTCGTATTTTAGATAATTAAAGAAGTGATAAATACCACTACATGACAAATAAAATAAAGTAAAATAAAATAAAATTTGTTATGATTTTTTTTTTTTTACAGAATGTTAATAACCTCTCTATTGAAATTACAGTTGCAAATCTCAATATAACCTTTATACATACGGAGTGCAATTTACATTAGCTACCCGTACAGGCCAGTTTGTGATGCCCACCTTGAGAAGCATTTTGTTGATTGCCATGGTGGAAACTGGGGATGGGTTCAGGTGAGTTGGAATACATACCTCCCTACTTTTAGATAGATGAAGAATATATATTTTGATTGAGAATTTGGAGAAGCCAGCGGAAGAATTTCTTTAGGAGAAGACAACGAAGATAAAAAAACAGAGATAATTGAATGTGTCTTGCGCCAAACAGAGAGGGTAGGAAAAGGAAAAATCCAAAAGCCGATGCTAAACGCTGGGGTAGGCAGCGTTTCAGATATCGGATTATTGGATCCAATAATCTAAATCAACAATCCATTTACCAAACATCAATGTTGGCTTTTAACAAAGTCAAAGTTATTAATTGTGGTCAAAGAAGCCAAAAACTGGCTGATAAGCCATTTACCAAACAAGGCCTAAATCAAAGAGACTAAGAAGCACACTAGGGACCTGTTTCGTAACCGCTGAAACAGCTGAAACGGCTGAAACGACTTTAAAGACTTAATTTGCTGAAGTGAAAGTGTTTGGTAATATGTTGGCTGAAATGACTGATTGAACGTAGAATTACCTTAAAGGGTATTCGTTTATTTGTGTGAA